CCGTTTAATTCCTTGGATTATTTCATCGCAATTCACCCTTAGTTCTCGCTCCCTTTTTCTCGGCCAGCTTAACTCTTGGTTTGGGGCTGGGGAATGAAATGAGAGTTCTACCGGAAGTGACCAGCCAAATACCCGACACATAGTCGACCCCCCACAGATGTCAGTTCACCTTCAGGATCTGGCTCACCCTTGCCTCCTGCCCGTGTCCGCGATTTCAGATCGCTAGCCTGTCTAACCTGCTTGACTCGTGGACCCCTACTCTGGGCTCCACGTCCGCTAACTGGTAGCTCCTAGCATACGTCCTGCTTCTCCGGGTGACTGGCATTGCGCTTATTTCTGTGCCCTGGTGACCGTGGGACTTCTGGGATGTGTTTGGGCATGCTGGATGTCTTACCTCGCAGCTCATTCCTGGTTCCTATGAACCACAGTTAAAATGGTAATGATGTTAACATACATACTGCCTAGTTCACACACTTCCCATAGCTTTTAATGAAACCCTGCATCTGTCACTTAGTCATGGCCCCAAACCCCCAATAGGCACATATGCCTATCGGAGCATTTGGCAGATTTAAAAACACCCTAGAGGCTGGTGACATCTTGTTTTCCTGTCTCCTCAGTGCTCAGCACGTTAGACATTCAGCGAATGAATGTATGAATCAGTGACTAAATAGACGGCATCGGTGGAACTCTGGTGTGCCTATTTCCATTCTTTGGGCACCAAACATACAGAAATATATTATTCCTTTCATGTGACTTATTTTCCAAGTCGAAAGCCTCATTTTAAATTATCGTCTTTTGCTGAAAACATTTGAACCCACTTGGAAAAGTGCTCTGTAATTAGTTTTTTGTGTGTTGTGTGCCCAGGCCTCCCTCTGGACGTTCCTTTAAGATTTAATGTATTCAAACTTTTGCACAATAAACAAATTCTTATAATAGAACCCGTCTCTAGCCGACCAGCCATGCTAAGTATGAAATGTTCCTTGGCAGCTGCTGGCATCTGTCTGAGCATGTCGACTGCATTGGTCTTTTTATGCCCCAGCTTTGTTCCTCTTTTCGTCACCAGCTGTAGAGAAAGCCCTTGGCTGGGATGTATTTTCAACCACGTAGTTTATAAACCAATCCCCGAATGAAGAACTGCTTCTAAAGCTCTAAGATCTGTGCTGTTTTGAATGGTGTTTGAGAAAAACGGAAACGCTGACAGTTTCAGGGCGCCGTTGTTAATCCAGTCGCTCTGTGCTCTTCATGGGGGAGGAACAGGAGCCGCGTGGCAGAAACACCGATCTCGGGGGGCTTGACTTCCACCGAAGAGACCGCGCCTGAATTTCAGAAGGACGCAAGGGCAAGACGGCATTTAACTGCGTGTCGCCTCAGAGGAAGAGCTGGTGGGCGGGCGGGGGGAGCACTCAGGAAGGTGCCTGGGGAGGGAAGAGACCCAATCTGGAGCTCAGAAAGCTAGAAAGAAGCAGA